TGACATAGAGACCAAAAAAACAATTCAAAGGATCAATGAAACAAAGAGCTGGTTTTTCGAAAAGATAAACAAGATTGATGGGCCCTTAGCTAGACTCACCAAGAAACAAAGAGAGAGAACCCAAATACACAAAATCAGAAATGAAAGAGGAGAAGTAACAACCAACACCACGGAAATACAAAAGATCGTTAACAACTACTATGAACAACTATATGGCAACAAATTCAACAATCTAAGCGAAATGGAAAAATTTCTAGAGACACACAGTCTCCCAAAACTATTCCCGGAAGAGATAGAAAACTTGAACAGACCAATAACAACTAAGGAAATTGAAGAGGTAATCAAGACTCTCTCAGCAAACAAAAGCCCAGGCCCAGATGGTTTCACGGGGGAGTTTTACCGAACATTCAAAAAAGAACTAACACCCATTCTCCTCAAACTATTTCAAAAAATTCAAGAAGAAGGAAGACTTCCAAACACGTTCTATGAGGCCAGCATAATTCTAATTCCAAAACCAGAAAAAGACACTACGAAGAAAGAAAACTACAGGCCAATATCCCTGATGAACATAGACGCCAAAATCCTGAACAAAATACTAGCAAATCGGATCCAGAAATACATCAAAAAAATTATTCACCATGACCAAGTGGGATTCATCCCAGGGATGCAAGGCTGGTACAATATTCGCAAATCAATAAACGTGATACACCACATAAACAAAATGAAGAATAAAAACCACATGATCATATCAATAGATGCTGAAAAAGCATTAGACAAAATCCAGCATCCATTTCTGATAAAAACGCTCAGCAATGTAGGAATAGAGGGATCATATTTCGACATAATAAAGGCCATATATGAAAGACCTACAGCCAACATCATACTCAATGGACAGAAACTAAAAACATTTCCATTAAGAACAGGAACAAGACAGGGATGTCCACTTTCGCCACTCTTATTTAACATTGTACTGGAAGTCTTAGCCACAGCAATCAGACATGAAGAAAAAATAAAAGGGATCCAAATTGGAAAGGAGGAAGTGAAACTGTCATTATTTGCAGATGACATGATATTGTACATAGAAAACCCTAAAGACTCCATCAAAAATCTATTAGACTTAATAAATGAATTTGGCAAAGTAGCAGGATACAAAATTAACGTCAAGAAATCGACGGCATTCTTGTACATCAATGATGAACTCACAGAAAGAGAAACTGAAAAAACAATCCCATTTACCATCGCTCCAAAAAAATTACGATACCTAGGAATAAACTTAACCAAAGAAGTAAAGGACCTATTTGCAGAAAACTACAGGTCATTGAAAAAAGAAATAGAGGAAGATATAAAAAAGTGGAAGCACATACCCTGTTCATGGATTGGAAGAATTAACATAATTAAAATGTCCATACTACCCAAAGCAATCTATAGATTCAATGCAATCCCCATCAAAATACCAACGACATATTTCATAGAACTAGAACAAATACTTCAAAAGTTCATATGGAACCAAAAAAGACCCCGAATAGCCACAGCAATCTTGAAAAAGAAGAACAAAGTTGGAGGGATCACAATACCAGATATCAGGTTATACTACAAAGCGACTGTAACCAAAACAGCCTGGTATGGCACAAGAACAGGCATATAGACCAGTGGAACAGAACTGAAAACCCAGAAATGGACCCAAGGCAATACGCTCAATTAATATTTGACAAAGGTGGCAAGAGCATACAGTGGAGTAAAGACGGCCTCTTTAATAAATGGTGTTGGGAAAATTGGACAGCTACATGCAAAAAAATGAAACTAGACCATCAGCTTACACCATACACAAAAATAAACTCAAAATGGATAAAAGACTTAAATGTGACCCGTGAATCCATAAAAATTCTAGAAGAAAATGTAGGCAACAAAATTTCGGACACCATACGGAGCAGAATTTTCACTGATACATCACCTAAGGCAACAGAAATAAAGGAGAAAATGAACACATGGGACTACATCAAACTAAAAAGCTTCTGCACAGCAAAAGAAACAATCATCAAAATGGAAAGGCAACCCACTGTATGGGAGAACATCATTGCCAATGATGTATCAGATAAGGGGTTAATTTCCAATATATACAGAGTGCTCATACAACTCCACAAAAGGAACACAAAGAACCCAATTAAAAAATGGGCAGAGGAGCTGAATAGACACCTCTCCAAACAGGACATACAAATGGCCAAGAGACATATGAAGAAATGCTCAACATCACTAATCATCAGAGAGATGCAAATTAAAACAACAATGAGGTATCACCTCACACCTGTCAGAATGGCCGCCATCAACAAATCATCAAACAACAAGTGTTGGCGAGGGTGTGGAGAAAAGGGGACTCTAATACACTGCTGTTGGGAATGCAGACTGGTACAGCCGCCATGGAAAACAATGTGGTGCTACCTCCAAAAATTAAAAATTGAACTTCCATTTGACCCAGTGATCCCACTGCTGGGAATATACCCTAAGAAGCCTGAAACACCAATCAGGAAGAATATATGTACCCCCATGTTCATAGCAGCACTATTTACAATAGCTAAGATCTGGAAACAGCCCAAGTGTCCACCAGTAGACGAATGGATAAAAAAGCAGTGGTACATATACACAATGGAGTACTATGCAGCGGTAAGAAAGAAAGATCTCTTATCCTTTGAGACGACATGGAGGGACCTGGAAAGTATTATCCTAAGTGAAAGAAACCAAGCAGAAAAAGACAAATACCACATGATCTCACTTATATACGGAATATAATGAACATAACAGTCTGAGAAATACAGTAGACCCAGACACATGGAAGTAGGGCACAGACTGACATCCCTCAGAAGAGGGGATGGGGGGTGGGAGGGTGGGAAGAGATAAACCACAGAACTTATATGCATGTATGCATGACCAATGGACATGGACAACTAAGCCGGGGACAGGGTGGAGGGGTGGTGGGGTGGGGGGTGCCAATGGGGTAAAAAGGTAAAATGTCTGTAACAAAAAAATAAATAAATAAAAAAATTCATAAAAAAAAAAAAAAAAAAAATTCACTGACCAAAAAAAGTATCTGACCACCTCATAGCTCCATACTTCACACAGTCTTCCTAAAACCTGAGGGGCAGACCGAGGCTCACCCATTTCCCTCTCTGCTTTCAGGTTTTACAGTTTTCCCTCTCTGCTCTCTAACACAGTGGCTGCTGATATTTTTCTCCAAGATTCAACACCTTCTCGTTAAATATTTTATCTCTAAATGTCTCAGTGCATTAACCAGCTTTTCTATAGGCATCTTGCCATTTCCACGAGGCCAGCAGTAGACGCCACCAGCAGCTGATACATGTCACAGTTCATGCCCCAGAGGGTTAGGGCTGCCCCTGTTCTCTCTGGCCAGCTCCCTCCCCAGTGGCACTCCAGTGACCTCAACCTCTCCCCGCTCAAAGCAGGGGGTGCAGCCCTTCCTCGGCACTCTTTAATAAATCTCTCCACGGGTCTGCTTCTTAACATTCCAACCTCTTCCCAGGGGAGGAAATCACAAGTGAAAACACCACTCAGAAATACAACTTTATCTCAAAATTCCTCTGCTAAAAATCTGATACTTGGCTTTAAATTTTCTTCAGCCGTATAATGAACTTACACGTTACAGTGATGGAAGGCAGGACATTGTCAAGACGGTCCGACGGTCCTGAAGGCTTCCACTAAAATTCCCACCTCCAACCTGACAGCCACGGAGCCCGTAGGCACGAATACGCACAACCACTTAACAAGCCCGTTCTCTTTATTCTCCGCTCATCCCCACTGCTATCAATGACCTATAATTAGTAACGGCAGGCGAAGAGCCAACTGGTGCAGGCACTGATCTAAGAACTTCATTATCTCCTTCAATCCTCTCGACACAGTTAGGAGGAAGCAGAGGCTTGGCGGGCACAGAAGCTGCCTCACGCGACCAGGGAGGAATGTGGCAGGCAGGGTTCACACCTGTCTGACACCAGCACCTCCCTCTCGCCATCACACAGTGCCACTTCAGTCACAAAATCGCTCCTTCCCACCTGAAATAAGCATTTCTTCAAGCAGATTCAATACCGCAGAAGAACCCAGAGACCCTCTTTGCTGGGTCAACATGTTTTTATTGCAAAAGGGATAGGAAACAGAAAAGGTGGGGAAAAGATAGGAGGTTCCGGAAAATGCCTTCACCTCCGACCTCTTCCCTCCCATTAGGGGTCAGAGGAGCAGGCCCTTGGGACAAACGGGAGGACTCAGTGGTCAGTTCCCCGTTTGTGTGTTTACATCCCTGCCGGGGAAGGAAGAGCTGCCGTGACAAGTCCCCACTAGGAAGAGAAGGCGACTTGGGCTCCAGGTCTGTGTTCATGAGCCGCTGCGGCCTCTCGATGTTTCTCTCCCGGCCCGGCCCCTGGTCAGTGAGTCACGAAATGAGGACAAGCCTCCAGGGAGCGAATGCCACAGCTGCACAGCCGTGAAGCAGAAAGGACAGGACACAGGTGGCTAGCCGCCTCCTTCCCCGGGTCCGCCCTCCCACACACGCGGGGTGACTCTGAGCAAGGGCAGCACAGGGCTCCCATCACACAGGGGAATCTGGAGTGTCGGCCCCTGAACACGGAATCTTCTGCCTTCTGTGCCCGTGACGTGTCCGAAGCCCCGAGTGCGCTGCCTTTGCGAACTCTCGGAGCGAAATACTTCATTGCCCTGGAGAGTGTCGCTGGCCCGGCGGGCCAGCCTGTCCCCACTCGCTCCACGAGGCCCGTTTTTAAAAACATTATTAATTGTCAGGAGATTCCAAACAGAACGGGCCTGCCAAGATGTATCTGGCAAAGAAAAGATACTCTATCTCCTGAAACATGTGTTTAAAAGTCAGTTCCAATCTTCCTTTTGCTCAACTTTCCACGTACTCGCCTGAGAGAAGAACCATGGCTCCCTGCAAAACCGGCATTTTTACCATGGAATCTTAGCCCCCCATTTTCTAACCCACTTACCGCCCAAGCTGGAGCTGTTGTCTTGCACCCCGTCCACGGGCCTCCCGTGACCCCGCAGAGCTGTGTGCCCGGGCACGTGCAGAACCACCGCTCCGTCCTGGTGGGCCGGGGGCGTCCCCCCTTCCGAAGGCTGCGGCCCTCCGTCTGGTTTGGGCCTGTAGCTTCTGTTTTCAAGGTAGGGAGGTGGGGCTCCCTGGGGAGGATCCAGTGAATTTTCTTCTGTTTCTGATGGAGTCCGGCCTCTGGTCCATGGTTGTTCAGAAGACTCAAGTGGGCCTCTTATATCTAGGGCACCCGTATCCTCCACACGCCTCCCCTCTTCGGTTCGCGGGTCCGAGGTGGCAGATTCCGTGTCAGGGTGGACTGGCCTATTTCTAGGTGTCGAATGCAAGTGGGGATCTGGAGGAGAGATGCCACCTCCCACAGGCCTTGAATCAGCTTTTGAGTGGAAGGAAACATTGGTGTCACCGTGGCCTTTCAACACCTCCTCTGGTTCGCTCGGCGGATATTCAGCTTCCTCCTCATTCTCACCATAATAATCCAAATTCTCCTCACTGTAGTTTCTTTCCAGGGCTGCAGCATGGCTGAATGAATGTTCCCGGGAAGCTGAAGAGCGCGCTTTGGAAAGGAACCCTCCGACTGTTGCTGGCCTGACATTGTCCAGTGGGGAGGTGCTGCCCACGTGAAAAGCCCACACGCCAGGAATCCCCAGGTTGCTGTGTCTAAATGAAAAGGAACAAGTCATTGTAATAAACATAGCCATGCAGCCACTGTCCTACAAAGGTGAGCAATTTATTTTAAAACTAAAAGGCTATTAAGATCAGATTCAGAGTTTTCATTGGTGTAGAAAAACCAAGTACAATGAGACTTACATGTTAACTCAAGGATGATACTGGAATCTTGAGGTAAACAACCTCTTATTTAATCTTCACTTTCACAGGCTGTATTTCACAGAATGCTAGACTATCAAGTTATAATCTACTCTACAATCCACGGTTTATCTAAAATCTGGCTTACCGAAAACAAAGAAAATGAGGGAGTATTTTTATCTTTCTTCTACTTTAAAAAACACATATGCTGAAAAAAATTTTGCCAATTACATAATAATGACTACTACATGCTTTTAAGATTTAGTTATGTGCCAAATGCTTAACATTCTTGTTTTTTTTAATATGTTTTTATTGATTTTTTTTTACAGAGAGAGAGAGAAACACCGATGTAAGAGACAAACATTGATCGGCTGCCTCCTGCACGCCCCCTACTGGGGATCAAGCCAGAAACCCAGGCATGTGCCCTGAGGGGGAATCAAACCTGTCAGTCCATGGGATCCACTGAGCCACACCAGCTGGTCCTTAACATTCTTCAATACAATCTACAAGGCAGGGACAGTGACCATGCCCAATTTTACAAAGGAGAAAATAGGTTTTGAGAGGCTAACCAATCTTCTTGGTAATTGACAGAGCTTGGATTCAGCATGAACACCAAAACCCATGCTCTACACTTGGGCTTTATATTATTATAAAATAATAATTAATTTATGTCAGAAAACCAATACACTATAATCAATCAGCATCTAAATTATCATAACTCGACAGAATGTTAAGACATGTCACTGGCTGATTGCATGCATTAATCAATTAATGAATTCACAGAGGATGGTGAGTCCATGTAAACAAATTCAGAGAAATACAAGTGCACAAATCTAAAATGTTGAGCAAATATAGAACAAAGTTATGAGGAAAATAATAAAGTAGTTGAATCAAAATGCCACAGGTCATAGGTGAGAAGTGTTCAGGTCTCTGGGCACCAGGAGCTCAGTAGTTTCCTCCTCTAGAAAAGAGCATGGACTATTCAGTATCCCAAATATCCCAACCATCCATAATTTTAGAGCCAATGATACATTCTGAAGAGAACAACTACATAAGATTTCTAAAAATAAGGAAAAACTCAAACAAACAAGGGTCTGGCTAGCTTGAATATACCAGTTTGTGTACTCCCCCAGCGTATGGGCAAAATGCTGTGGGGTTTCCTCAAGTCATTTAGTGAGGAACAGGAGTTAACAAACTAGTAAGTTAATAAGAAATTCATTGACTCATAGAATGACAAGAGAACTTTGCTCATTGGGTAGGTACCATTCATATTCATACAGATTTCTATAGCAATAGTATTTTTCATACAGTTCTCAGAATGAGTATCGCTCGCTCTCTATCTTTCCCCCTCTGTGTGTGTGTGTGTGTGGTATTGTTATTGTGGTTGCTGCTGCTGCTATTGTAATTAACTTAGGGAAACAGAAATACAGAAAGCAAAACTGATCCTTTGTGCAATGTGCTATCCATCGTTGGTAAGTTCTGAGAATTAATGTTGGTGTTTCTTGGCAAGCAAATAAGAAACACTGAAGAAGAGAAGAGAGAACCCTGAAGATCTGAGGATACTGAGTTTATTATCACATCAGAGGTGTTGCAGCTGTGAAATTTCTTCTTGATGTTAGAAACAGAAAACTATAAAAGCTTCAAAGAGTAGAAAAATACAAATTATGGTAGATAAAAGCTAAATGAAATAAAGTTCTAATTAAATATAAATCACTATCTTGGTTTTGTCATTGTGCGTGATGGGAAATAAACCAATTTGAGTTTATCCTAAAATCCAAGGTCATTTGTAAAGGTTAGTGATAGAAAGAATTTACTTCCTCAAAAGGAAAACAGACTACAAAATGAGTTGACGGCGTCCTCCTCCCTGGGTTTTTAGGAGGATGAAGTTACAAAGCCACATAAAATGCCTAACACAGGGTCCTGCACATAGTAAGTACTTAGCAACTACTGTCTTCCAAGAGATAGAACAGAATAATCTCAAAAATGCAAATGTGTGCATTCATATTTTAATTTTCAGAAGATGTATGACAAATACACTATGAATTGTATGATTTATGACCTTTGAGCTTATAATGATGAAACAAGTTTAGGAAGACAAAGATTCCACTGCCTAGGAAAGTAACTTAATTCTTCAGAGACGTATACTGAAGTATTTAGGAGTGAATGGCATGAGGTGTGTGACTTACTTTCAAATACTTCAGCAAAAAGGAAAAAAGTTAATGACTATGGCAACGTCAACAACTTGAATCTAGATTACAAGCATTTGGCTCAGTTAGCTACCCTCTCCACTTTTCTCTAGTTTTGAACATTTAAGTAATGAAAAGTAAAAAGGAAGATTGAATTGAGGAACATTTCTATAATTTGGTGGTAGAGAAGGTCTTTTGTAGAATAACCCCAAGACCTGAAATCAAGAAGAAAAAGAGCAATAACTTTGACAACCCTCAACGTCTAACTTCTAGATCATAAGTAACGTTAAAGATGAACAACTAGATAAAACTATCCACAGCATATAAGAGGACAGAATCTTTACCATCATTTTTCCTTATGTATAAGAAAGAGTCCTTTGTAAACACCCCAACAGAAAATAGCAAAGGATATGGACAGATAAGTCACAAAAAAAGATAGATAAATGGCTATTAAACACATAAAAGAGTGTTCAGGTTTACTAGTAATCAAAAAAATTAGAGTGAAAATGTGAACATTTTATATCGATCAGATTCACAAATATTAAAAAGGATGGAAGCTTGTAGGGAACAGACATCAAATCACTGGCCTGCCTTCTTGGTGAAGATATGAGTTGGTGCAATTTTTCTGAAGGGCAACTTGCTAATGCACATCGAAAACGTAATACACCCTTTCTCAGCAAGTCTAATGTTTAGGGAAATGAGGACCTCAGCAATGCAGAGGGTGTGGAAAAAGCAGGTCGACAGTTGTTCATGTGGAAAATAATACAACCATTAATAAATAATAAAAGAATAAACTCTGTTTCGCATACTCACAGCTGTAAACTGACTTTTACCCCACTCTGTAGATTATGCTGTTGACTGTAATGATATTTATTAAAGGAGAAACCAGAAACAAATGAAATGTTCATCAATAAATTGTCTTAATCATATAGGCTATATATGACGTCATGTTTTAATAGCCTTAAAATTATCATACAAACAGACATTTACTGGAAGAGGCCTATAAAACAGGGTTAAATGCGAAAATACCATTTTGGCTTTTAAAACTTTTTACATATACTGTACCTAAAATTCTGGAAGGAGTGTTAATACTGGTTATCATTTGAAGTAGTAATGCTGGGTAATTTTTAGTTTTATTTCACATTGTTCTGCATTGTTTGCAATTTATTTTGTTTTTTAATATTAAGCATGGGTTACACATAAAGAAAAATCTCTCTGTTAGCCATTTTGGCTCCATAACTACTCTGCTCTCATCAAGCCACTCAGAGGCTTCTGGGAAGCATCAAAGATAAAAATGAGGAAAAGCATAGAAGGAGGTAAATGGAAGTAAGTGTGTGTGTTCTCTCTCTCTCTCTCTTTTTAAATTTAAAATGACTTAGAGAGAGGAAGGGAGAGACGGAGAGAAACATTGATCAGTTGTCTCCCACACACACCCTGGGGACTGAACCTACAACCTGGGCATGTGTCCTGACTGGGAATCGAACCCACCACCTTTTGGTGTATGGGACGATGCTCCCACCAACTAAGCCACACAGGCCTGGGCTGTGTGTATGTATATTCTTGGGGGCCTTCATGACTGTGGTGGGGGAGCACAATTGCTTTTCCCACAGGTGTTCTGGCCCCCACTACCTCCTGCACCGTGTGTAGATGTCAGCACTTGTTTAATGCTCTGAAATTGTTGATCTATTCGTCTGTCAGCTCGCAACAGGGCGAGTTGCTAGTACAGGGCCTGTGCCTTAGACACCTCTGTCTTTCAAGTGTGTGGCCCCCGTGAACTCTCCGTAGTATCTGAGGGGCACAGACTCTGTGGCCTCCAGGCTCGAAGGGTTAGGTGGGACCCAGGGAAGAAGAGCAAGGAGCTCAGTTTTCCTCAGATTAAATGGCAGCCTGGATAGAGACCTACAGATGTCCAGCATGGGTCATAAGAATGGGAAAGAAAAGCAGGATTCAGCATAAAATAAAGGGTTTGAAGTCCCAGCCTTGTGCTTGAATGTGGGCTCTGCCACTTAGTAACTGAGATTATAGGCAACTCAACTTCCCTAAGCTCATTTGTCAAACTGAAAAAAAAGTATAGCTTACCTCCTAGGATTCTTGTGAGTTTTAATTTAGACAGCTTTTAGAAAGTATTTAGCACAATGTTTTATGCTAAATAAATGTCTCAATAAATGTCAGCTGGAGTAACCATATTTAGGTTGTAGGGCCCGCCCTCTGGTCGCTGAGCAGTGCAGATGGCGTGCAAATGTGTACAGTGTCCCAACACCCAGGAATAATGTAGTGAAACCGAGCGGTAGGGAGAGAGGCTAAGTAGCCAACGTGTTCTGTCTGGCTTCTAGATCAGTATTCAGGAAAGGAATAAACGCAAGGATATTGTTTAAAGCCCTGAAATGAATAGAGATCTCTAGCTGCTAACCCCTATACTGGTGTGATGCAGACTGACAGGAAGTGAGAGGGTCAGCATGGCATGAACAGTCAGCCGGGATGCGACCGAGGAATGTGCTCAGGCCCAGCTGCCCCATGGGACACCAATCAGTAGGATTTCAGATCGATAGCAAAGCCATAGGGAAATCCCGAGACTGCTGAAAATCTACCAGTCTGTTTGTTTTCCAAATTACATTACTCTTACTTTAACTTTTAATACGTTATCTGCCTAAAAGTCTAAAATCATGACATCTCCTTCTGTGGAATAATTAACCTTCAATCTGGGCAGTTAAATTACTGGGTGTTTTTATATGGTTCCAAAAGCAGTGTTTTCCATAGTAAGCCTCGGTGGCTCTGCAAACACACACACACACACACACACACACACACACATACCCACACACACACACACACGTCTGTTTCAGGTATCTTTAGCCAACAGGGTAAGAAAAATAAAGGACCTTTTATATTTGGTAAACTTGCTCCTCCCAGGGTCTGGTCTAGTCCTGGTTTTGACCTAGTGCCTTACTTAGAAACCACCAAGATATTATTTAATGGTCTTACAGCCACTTGGGTTTGGGTAGAGTCATTACACTCCACTAGGAAAGGGCTACGCCCTCTGGTACTTACTGGTAGAGATTCTTCACAGACTGTTCAGTGCTAGACAAGCTAAAATATGGCCCCTCTCTCTTCAGGTCCTCGGTCTCCCCTCGGCAGAAGCCCACCCGGGCCGGAAGCTCAAGCTGGACATTGTAGGATTCTTTGGGGCGAGTTCCAAAGAACTGAACACCATTGTCAGGATAAAGAAAGAAGGCGTAGGTATCAGACTCATCATATGCCAAAACTGCCTGGAAAGTATTCAGCTGTGGAAAAAAAAACACAAGAAAACATTTCTAATAAAACAAACAAACAAAATGACAATGCAGAAAAAGCATCATAAAGTACAAAAGGTTTTCCCCTTCTTAGGATTTCTTCAAACTGTTTTTATATATACTGTTCTTTTAAATTTCCTCTTCAAGTTACGACATAATTTTATAAGCTATGTTATATATAATTATCTTTTATCAATTCAGTGAATAATTGAAATATGCATAGGTTTAAAAAACAAAAAACACCGGTTAAAAAAATAATACCTTTTAAGGTTTCAAACTTTTCTCATCCAAACCTCTTCCAGAGCTGACAAGTAGCAAACTTACTGTGTCCGTTCCTACCGCCACTGCCCTAGCTTACTGCCCTGGCCACTCACCTGGGTCAGTCATTCATTCACCCATAACCGCATGCCCGCTGTGGGCAGGGACAGTGTCAGTGCTGGCTGATCAAAAGGCCTCCTCACTGTGCTCACAGCCTGGCTCTCTTTTCTCTTCCATCAATCTTTCCACACCAGCACCAGAGTTACAGAGGAGGACACAGAGACATAGGGGCTAACGAATTAGCCTAAGATCAGGTAGCTAGCACACGGTGGCAGGCCGGCCAGCTCAGAGCCCATGTCCTGTACCACCAGGCCACCCTACTCCTTAGCAGGCCATTCAAGGTGATACGTAAGCTGCCTGACCTCTTCCCCCCGGTTCAGATCTGCTCTCTCTCCACCAGACTATTCAACGTGCCCATTTGCCCACATTTGCTGATGCCTCTATACTCTCGCCCATGTTTCCCTGTGCCCAGACCCTCCTAATCTTCCAGTGCTGCCCCTCCTGGGAGTTTTGTGATTCCATGTAGATTGATTTCTGCCCTCTGACCCTCCGTGACACCTTTGCAAGTGTTTCTAGTTCACATTTACCTCATTTTGCCTGGTTAGCTGTTTATGTGTTCATAAACTCCATCTGTTAATTCGTTTGTACAGTAATTCAAACAGCCAAGTGCCTAGTGAGCACTGGACATTTTGCTTGGTGCTGAAGAAGCAAAGGAGCAAAGGACCAGGGACTCTGCCCAGGATGGTCTCACAGCTTAGGAGAGGGAGACAGGATTCTAGGAGAGTTATTAAAAGAGGGAGTAGAGGCCACAGAGGAGGCATGTGCCCTAGACCTCGGTGTAGGCAGGCATGGCAGGGAGGCCTTGGAATGTTTAGAAACACAGCAGGAGCCAAAGCAGACCAGAGAGACCAGGAGCTGAATTTGCCACGAACGTAACACCCATGTCCTTACAGAATCACTCCTTAAAATAGAATTTACTCTCATATTTTCTTTTTAAATATGTCTTTATTGATTTTTTAGAGAGAGAGGAAGGGAGAGAGAGAGAGAAACATCGATGAGAGAGAAACACTGATTGGCTGCCTCCTGCATGCCCCCTACTGGGGATTGCACCCACAACCCAGGCATGTGACCTGACCAGAAATTGAACTGGGACTTCTCTATCCATGGGACGAAGCTCAATCCACTGAACCACACCGGCTGGACTACTCTCATATTTTCAATAAGACATATTTTCGCCTTTACAGCCAGCTCTCTCCCCCGACCCTGCCAAAATGGTCGAAATGGTGCTTGGTTATCTTAAAAAGATGTTATCTTTAGGACTCTGAGAACACCTCTCTCACGAAATCCCCCTCCTTTTACAAATTAGTAGGGAACCGGGGAGGTACTTACAAATACCACTGCTTCCTAAATAATGTGACTCTTAGAAACATTATTTACTGGTAGGTAGGATCATTTCCCCATCTTGCCACACAGTCAAAATCAGCACAGAGAAGAACATCACAGTTTGCTAAATAAAACAGCAAACAAGAGGCATGTGCCCTGCATTTTGTTCTGTCCTGGGTCCTTGCCCACATGGTACTCAAGCTCTCTCCTCATGTTAAGTCTTCCTTTTAATGTTTAATTTCAAAGTTTAGTTTTGAGGTTTTGCTTTTAAGACAAAGCCACACAGGTTTTCCAATGCCTTCCAAGAAAAATCAAAAGGATACGCCTTTCTTTCAGTTTGCTGACGCTGAAAAGGTCACCTTGCTTTGTGCTTTGCTCTTCTCGCTCTCAGTTCACAAACTTATAGAGTTAAGGGGAGGGGCCTAGTATATTTGCCATTGTAGTTGTTGACTGTTTCATTAGCAAAGCTTGAGTTTTTCAAAAAACAGAAGGCAAGAGATGTTTTCTAGAATTTCTGAAAGCTGGGAAGCCGAGCTTCTGCCAAAATAAACCAAAACAGTTCTGCAATGTGTCTCTACGTACCATATACTACATCCTCAATTCATGTGGATCCAGTAACTTCCGAGTTTTACGTTAGTTAGGATTAATAAAGTTCAACTAGGGGAGAGAAAAGTGCTCAAGGAAGGAGAAAGAACCTGTTTTAAAAAGCTAAACTTTCAAAGCTCCTGGCATTGATTGCCCACAATAAACGTGAGATAGGAAGAAATCCTGGTTCTAAGTTTAGAGAAATTCTTTGAGATAAGAATGGCCTATGGATTGTGAAGGAATTGAAAGGGATGGGGGAGGAGAGGAAGAAAAAGTAAACAGAGCTGGGAAGGGGAGGGCCTGGCTTTTTACTATGGGGTCTGGGCATTTAGCACTTTATTTTATTCATCCTTTCAGTTAATCAACAAATTCATTTCAATGAAAATGTACTCCATGTCTTTTACGCGCCATCCCAGAGACAAGCACTTATTGTAGGTGGCAAGCACTGAATCTACTTTTCTCCACCAAGGCAAATGAAAAGAAGAATTTTAAATAAAATTTAGGATACCAAAGTACATGCCAAAAGTTGGCAACTTAAAAACCACCCACACACCAAATGATCACTTTTACAGTTCTCACTCAGCTCCATAACAGTCGACATCGAATTGCTCCAGAGCGGCCTTCGCCAGTCCGGAGGGCTGCGCTCCCTCCCCGGGCACTGCTTGTCTTCCGTCCAGACCGGAAAGGTCTTCGCATTCCTCAAGACAAGCCTTTGCAAGACCGCACATGCTCCATCTCTGAAGGGAAACCCTCAGATGGGCTGCCAAACCCCACAACAGGGTCACAGGTTCCCAACTCCCCCAGGATCCCAGAGAGGACAGAGGGGCCTCCCAGGGCAGAGGAGCTGCACAGATAGGATCAGGACCTGTGTCTGCTGAGCTGCAGGGTTTCCGCTGTCCTGTTATCAGAAAGAGAGAAAAGCCAGAGCCCTCAGCAGAAAGCAGGCAGAAGGAGTCTGACTCTCCCTTGCAGGTAGAGGATGTCGCCAGTCAATATTGCCTTGACACTCGGCAGAGCCAAGCTGTGGATGTAAATGGGACCATCTGAGTTTCTAATGTTTGCAATTCATTTAGTTAATTTTGGTCATCAGGCAAAAAATCAGAACAGTGTCAACCCTGTCCCAAAGGGATTTGCCTATAGTGGCTTTCAAAAGTTACAATGAAAAGTAGTCAGTAGGCTGACTCCTAAGGGGTCAGAAGTTTTCTCTCTTCCATAGGGTCACATGCTTGCTCCAGCTGCAGCATCACTGACTTCTGGCCTCCAGTGTTTGGTGTCCACACTAACCTCCATTCCTTGGTATAATTCTCCATCTCCCATGCCCTGTATGATACCGTCACATGTATGATTTCCCCTCATTCATTGTCTGCTCTAAATCCTACAGATTTAAAGAAATCCTACAAATTCAAAGATAAACAGCGCTATCATATCCTTCCTGACCTTTAGTCTTTAGGAAAACATCAGCATTTCATTAACCACTTTCCTTATCTGTTTCATTCCGTATGTCTTCATAGCTATGCCTCAGTCTCAGGTTGAACTCTTTCGGATAGACTGCAGACCTCCCCTCCTCTGGACATCAGCTCCAGAAGTCCAAAAGCTACAACCAAGTCCCGCTTTTACCTCTCTCATTCTCTCCGTGGATCCAACTCCCTCCATCAGTGACAATCATCCTTTGAAACAAGTCAACATGCCTCAGCCCCTACATGGAGGTCTCTAATAAGCAACCTTCCAGTCACCTTATATGACTGCCCCATGACTCCTTCGTCCATTTCTCCGGCCTCAGCTCTCCAGCCCTCTCCCACTGCCTAGCTCAGAACACCTCCCCTGCTGCCTCAGTCTCAACATCCATTCTTTCAGCCCAACTTAAAATCCAGGTCAACAAAACATTCTCCATACCACACAGCTCTGTGTAACCAGTTCTCTATAACCCCACCCCTCAAACAACAACAAAATAATACTCCTCTTCCCCCCAAAAATGCAGCTAAAGTAAACACTAGCCCTCTTTATGACAGTAAGTTCTCTGAATGTCAATACCATGACTTCTTTGCTCTGTGAAACAACTATGACAGCTCAAGGAATCTCAGATTAACTGAACTGATAAACACTATTTGTTCATATTTTTAGATGTGGTTACACCTTGACATCCCTGCAGTATCAGCTACAACATCCTGCCACACCCACCATGAATATCCACGGAGAGAAAGGGCAACGACTGAAATTGTTTTACATGGTACGGATGCCATTCCTCAAATATCTTCACATTTCCAGTAACTTTACAGCATCAGGTTATCATGCCAGAGTTTAAGAAAGCCATGTAGAACGCCTTCAAGCAAAGTAGATTACTTGCCAAAATCTACCTCCAAAGAACTATTAAAACAAAAACTCAAGTCACAGAGCTCTTTATTCAGAACAACCTTCAACACGGGTAATTGAAAAAACATTCTCTCTCTAAACAGAATCCTCATCTCCTTTCTAAATGAAAGAAACTCTGAAGCCAGCCTAGCATATGGCAATGTCTGAAGATTGATTTTAATTAGAAAAGTGAAAGAGAAATGGAATCCACAAATCTTCCTGCACTCCCCACCCAAAAAGCCCAGATGGAAATTATAATTTGGAAAACTTTGTATTTAAAGAGTCCTTATGTAAAGGACTTGCATCACAGCATGCTTACAAGATAGAGAAATAAAAGAACCAGAACTTGGTCCCATCAAGCCAATGAAGGGGAACACAGATGGGCTGAGCATCTATACCAGCTGGGTCTAAGGGACTACAGCAGCTATGTAAAAATGTCACTTCAGTTAATTCTCACAACAATCCTATAAGGTAGACATTGCTGCTCCATTTTACAGCTTAGGTAACTAAGGCTGAGTCTGAGTCATTGTTTCTGGATAACGTTTCATAAACACTTTTTCCTTCAAAATGCTTTTATCTTTATTGTCACTGTCTTCACAGCCACCCAGAAAGTTAGGTAAGAGAAGAGTATTTCCACGCTACAGATGAAATTGAGAAAAATAATTAACAAAGTCACATTGTTTGTATTGTAATTTTCGGTTTCAAATAAGCCCTGATGAAATTGGAACTCAAAGCCATAATGTGATTTCATCACCCCAGAACTTCTGCACAACTGCTCACACCCCGCCCCCCCATTGATCTCGCTCAACCTTGTCCTTCTATTCTGTGTTTAAAAAGTAAGACAGATACAGCTGATTCTCTCCAGAGTGTTGGAATAATTTGTATCAATAGTGTCCTTGGCAGCAGATATCATTCCAAGTTCACTTTTCCTTTGAATACAATATAATTCCAAGGGCTCTTCTGGTACTAAGATCACATGAAAACAATAAAATGTCAGCCTTATTTATTGGAAGTCTTGGGAAAAGGTACAATTATTGTCGTGTCTACCTTCATCACGTGTGCCAAGGAAATAGGTCCTGCATGGAAAAAGTCTGGATAAGAGCAACGACACAACCTAAGAATCAGGACATCTGGATAATACACCTACCTCTGCCACACTAAGCACAGCATTTTGGACAAAAGTTTTAATTTCTACTTGCCATTATCTGTGAAATGCAAACATTAAGTCATGTACTTATTTTGTAGGACTGTTGTGGGAAGACAGTATGAGAAAGTATTCTTATCAGAATTAACTAGATAGCTTAAATAAACAACTTATATCATGTGTCTGAGTAGTCAGTCTTTCCTTTGTGCCCACACCTTCTCAAGACAGAAAGAGTTCTCTTAACAAAAAATATTAATCCCCTGTTTTAAATCCTTCAAAGAATGCCTAGCACCAAAAGACCAAGTCCGAACTCTCAGCACAACATGGTTTGTCCCCACCCCACGGCCTTTCCACCCTCTTGTGCCACGACCCTTCCTCTTCAGTAACAATGTGCCACACACAATGCCCCAAACACATTCTACTCTACAGCACATGGGTGATGTCATATGTCATCCTTCTTTGAGGAACGTTTCACTCTGCTCAACTCTGATTCAAAGCTACTTCTTCACTGAAACCTTCCCCAACTGAATCCACTATTCAGGGAGGGGAAGAGTTAGCCTCCTTTAGTCAAAATGCTACTATACTTACCATATTGAATAATAATCAATGTCTCTATTAAACTATGAGATCCTTGGGAGTGAAGAGTATGTCCTTACATGGTGTCTACATCAGTCCTGTCACATAGTAAATGTGCAAAAAAGGTTTGTTGGATGACTAAATCTCAACTATGTTTACATGTAAATTATATACACACACACATATAAATATAATTCCAAAGGAATTGTTTAGAAAAAAAGACTGGAAGACAATAAACTATTAGCAGTGGTGATTGATCTCTGGTTAGTGAAATTTTAATGTTTACTTTCTTTTCTAAATGTTTTTTTTTTTTTTTTAATCCTCGCCCGAGGATATTTTTCCATTTTTTGTACAGATAGAGTGGGAGGGAGAGAGAGGAAGGGAGAGAGAGAGAGAAACATCGATGTGAAAGGGACACATCGAGTGGCTGCCACCCGCACGACCAACCAGGGCAGGGGACAAACTGCAACCGAAGTACGTGCCCTTAGCGGGAACCGAACCCGGGTCTCTCCGGACCGCAGGCCGACGCTCTAACCGCTGAGCCAAACTGGCCAGGGCTCTTTTCTAAATGTTTTATTGTAGGTATGTTATACTTAATTTTAAATGTTTTCTAAACTTATAAACCAAAATGAATGAATGAATGAATGAATGAATGAATGCATCATAATGGTGGGGGCCTTACCTTATTCAACTTTCTCCAACTTTCCACCTAGCCCAATGCCCTGCTCAATATGTCTGTTTAAATTCACTGTATTCTGTTAAATTGAATAATTAAAATGTCAAACCATGTATTTTTAAAAAGTATTCAATAAACAAAAGTAGATGTTGCCTGACAAAAAAACAAGTGGCAAAAAAATCATAAATCCAAATAGTTTTTATTTCTAAATCTTCTCTGCTTAGTACAGTCTTTAGGAAATATTTCTCTTACAGAACACTTAATAATGGCCACCATCTTGAACTACTCAGTGAGCATGGGCAAGCTCCTTAATCTCTTAGGGAAGAGAAGTACCATCTTTCTGTACATAGCTAAGAAACACTTTGAGTTAAAATACAGGTAAATTGTAAGTGTTTTAGCCCTTGGAGTATAACACTAGATTCAGGTCTAATATCATGGGAGGAAGTCCTTACCTACTCCAGGAATGAGGCAGTTTACCATTTGCCAAGCCACCCTGACCCCACCTAATGTCCATTTGGAGTATTTTAAATGTTGCTGCCAAGCCTAAAGACTGGGAGCTTGTGCTGTTCCTCAGGTAGGAACTATAAAACAAATTGAAGACAGTCTCCTGTAAACTAGAGGGCATGAAACCTGGAGGGCAAGTTGGCCAAAGCTAGCAAGAACCTTATAAAAACTGTATCCCCTCTGGCCCACCAATTCCAGATCCTGGAATGTCAACTAAGGACATGCACAAAGATTTAGCTTTAAGAAAGTGCTTCACAAAATTATTTATAGTGATAAAAAATCAGAAATAACCTTAATGACCACTGGGCATAGTGGTAATTCCAGTGGATGGAATATTATGCAGATTTTATAAATAATGTAGAAATAGATTTACTGACATTGAAACATATTCACAATATACTATTTAGTCAGGGCAGGGGTGGGGTAGGCTAATAATAGTATGTGCACTGTGAACCCATCATTGTTAATAGAAAATGACAGATAAATATAGATATTGATAGGAAAAAACCTCTGGAATATACACAGGAAAATGTTTAACAGTGGTTATCTTTGAGTGGTAGAAAAATGAGAGGTTGTTCTTTTTCAAACTGCCTGTATTTGCTTATGTTTTTCTTTCAATGAACATATAATTAGAAATAATTCTTGTATACTTAGAGGTGATTCTAAAAATAAACAACCAAACAGTAAACTGCCTTGTGTTCTGAGGGCCTTCGGCATCTACACTGGGCTCCTCTCGTCTCCTAAGCACGTTTTCTCTCTAGAAGAGACCACCTCTCAGATTCTCAATGGAAGCCTTAAGATTTCACTTCCAAGCAATTTCAACCCTGGTGCCACCAGAGATACTGTACATCAGGTTCCGCTCAAGAGGAGACTCAAAAAAATACTCCAAGCCAGTCCCTGGGTTTCAGCCCAGAATTCAAGCCCATCCCTCAACTGGCTCAGCAGCCAAGCATCCCTGTCACTTACCTCTCCCGAGGGCGGCGTCCCAAGCCGAGCCTCCTGGTAGGCGCCCACCTGCTCCCAGGTGGCCAAGAAGGCGTGGGTGGGGCTGAAGTCTGCGGCGGTGCTCGGGAAGCCTGCGCGAACGTAGTGAGCGGCCAGGCCCAGCACCTCCGGGGACGTATCCTCCCGGTATAGGATCCTGCCCCTACCCTGGCTCGTGTCGATGTCGGCCAGAAAGGGAGCAATGGCCGGGAAATCCGTGGGGAAACCATCGTCCACATACTGGGTCTCCCTGGGAAAGTCCTGGGTGGAGATGATGCCATTGGTGCCCACCTGGGAGAGGAAAGGGACAAAAGGTGACGGTCGCTTACTCTGCAAGACGCCCAAGGGCGGCCACCACAGGTCCAGACATGCGCGCCCACCCTGCTCCTCGCAGAGGGAAGGGAACCGCCCCGGGCATGAAGCTCTCCCTTCCCAATAGCCTGGGAGGCCGACTCCTGGTTCAGGGCGTCCAGTGCAACTTCAGCCCGTGTCCCACCCGAGCATTCCTACCCCAAAGCACGATGCAATCGTTCCAGGAGCCCTAAAGCTCGTTCGCGTATTTTCTCACTTCCCGCACAACCCTGGAGAACACCTCCAAGTCCGAGGAGGGAGCACCTACAGACGTGCACCGTCTTCTCGCTGCCCTAACTGGAAACCCCACTGGCTGCCCTAGCGACGCTACTACCTTCTTTTCTGCCTGGGACGCTTGAGTGGCCGCGAACAGATCTTGCTCCCTCGCTCGAGGTAAGGAAAAGCAGCGGGTCCGGCAGCAGCACCGCTGCAAAGCCCGGTCCCACCCCTGGGGCGCTCCGGGACAGCAAAGCGTGCGCACTATTTCCTCCCCTCCGAAGACAGGGGTTTGGTGAGATCCACACTACATGGACCCCTGGTACGAAGCTGCGAGAAATCTGCCGAGTCCCGCACCCCGAGGGGGCTGAACTTACGTAGAGGTAGCTAAACTGGGCTTCGTAGAAGCGCAGGGGACTCGCCAGCTTCACGGCGGCTGAGCTTTCATCGTCGCCTTCCTTCAGGAGCTGGTCCCCCCGAAACTGCCCGTAGGGGAAGAGCCCGCTTAGGTGCAGCGCCGCGGCCCGGGACAGCAGCAGCAGCAGCAGCAGCAACGGCGGCGGCGGCGCCAACAGCGCCCGCAGCCCGGCCGCCCGGTCCCCCCGCATGCTCGCTCGGCCCCTGGGCTGCCCTGCTGCACAGCGTCCCGGCCCGCTAGCCCACTAGCGGCGCAGCGCGAGCTCCAACCTGGTTCCCCACGGGCGCCCGGGAGGGGCGGGCCTCCCCTCCCTCTCAGCACGCTGACTGGCTGCGGCCCTACACAGGGGGCCAATCACCGGCTCTGAGAAAGTTCGACAGCTGCCGCCACATCTGGTTCTCGTTAAAAGTTTTCTAAGGCAGGGGTCGCGGAAGCGGCTCCGCTTTTACCCCTGGCGAGGTAAAAGCCCGCGGCCGGGCTGCCGGGAGCTGCTCCCTCTCCTCCGCCTCCGCTGCCCGAGACCTCCTGGGGGCACTACCCCCCCTCCCGTCCGGTCTGCCCCGCGGTCCCCGAGACCCCCGACCCCGCGAGGTCCGAAGGCAGAGGCTCTGCAGGAGGTGGCCTCAGCGCCAAGGGGGACCCCGCGGCGGCGTGTGCCCCCCGCCCGGCCGGCAGGGCGAGCGTGTGTGCTGGGGTCCCAGGCGTCCCTCGTCCCCGAGGCCAACCCATCGGGCCGAGAAGCAAAGGGAATTTGTGGAAGTCGCGCCCTCCTTGACCGCTTCTCTCCACCCCAGAGAGGCCCTGTCGAGAAGCGCGTCTTTGTACGAAGCCAGGGGATCTGACTCCTAAGTTCCGTCCAGGTCAAGAGCGCTGTTTACCGTCCCCAGAAAAACCGCACCCGGGAAGAACATGAAAAACGCCTGGGTGTGATCGGCTCCGTTTGGGGCGTGGGATGAGGCATCCCGTTTGGGCACCAAGCAGACGTGGTTAAAGAGCCGCGGGGGAAGGGACCCCGGTTCTCTCCCCCGCTGCTTACCGGCGTCGGAGCTGCGCTCGCCCGCGAACACAGAGGTGGAACCCGAGCCGCTCCACGGGACTGGAAACCCGCGCAAACCAGCTGTGAGGGTGTGGGGGAACCCCATCCACCATAAACATTCTATCCTCGAAGCATCAGGAGCCGGACAAGATTTTATTACCATTTTTATTATCAAGAGCTTGAAATTTCCCAGATAGTCTGTTTTCTCTCTCCAGTCCCCCATGGGGTCCTTGGAAGCAAACGTATTTAAAAAGAAGGTAAAAAAGCAAGCCTTTGGAATTGCCTTGAGGGATGCTCAAAAGATAGGTTTTTCTTCTTGTGAATGTTCATTCCAATCTTACAAATCCTCTTGGGCCCACAGAGCCAAGCCCTAAAAACTTGAAGATATCATACTGTGAGATTCACAGAATCAACACAAAATGGAAAATTGGCCCAAAACAGACTGTGTAGAGCTGTATTTGATGTTACAACATGTATTTGTGCTCGCATATATATGTTCTCATTTCTTAGGGGGTTAGGTATTCTGTCATTGTATTCAGGAAATGAAGGCTCAAAGACATGAGGAGACTTGACTTGCCCGTGGTCACCTACAGCTACTCCTCAACATGAAATCCTTCACTGGCTTTCTAGTTTTCCCAACTCTCAGTTGAACATAGTAATAATAGCTAACATTTGCTTAGTGGTAAGAAGCTATGGTCAGGCAGACTCTAAGATGGTCTCCAAAGATCCCCATTTCTGCTGTTCATTTCCTCATATAAGCCCCTCCCCTGGAGAGTGGGCGGGCCTAGTGACTCCTAACCCATACAATGAGGTAATAGTGATGAGAAGTCACTTCAATGATTACACTATATCTGTCTTGATAGCAGACTCTTTCTCACTGGCTGTGATGGAGGAAGCTTTATGATGGGAAGGCCAACATGGCAAGGAACTGAGGTAGCCTCTGGCCAACAGCCAGCAAGGCACTGTATTCTGCCAACAAACATAAAATGAGCTTGGAAGTAAATCCTTTCCTGTCTTGAGATGACACCTTAGCTCTAACTGACACTTTGATTGCAGCCTTGTGAGACCCTGAAGCGAAGGACCCTGATAAACAGGCCCAGATTCCAGACCCACAGAAACTGAGAATTTAATTAATTTGTATTGTTTCAAGCTGTTATGGTTTGGGATAATTTGTTATACAGCAATAGATAAGTGATACAGTTAGACACTATACTAAGGTAACTAACATTTAGAGGGATTAAAAAAAAAAAGTCAGTTATTGTTACATGGCTGGTAAGCACCAGAGCTGAGATTTGAACTCAGTTCTGTCTGATTTCTAAACCTTTGCTCTTAACTAATTCATGTTGCCACAAGACCCTTTGAAAGGTAACTCCAGACTACCTTAACTTCAGCTCTAGCCATAGCTAATCTTTCCGTTGAGACTTTAGTTCTCAGTTGCAACCTCCTATTTTGTGGTTTGGAACATCCTCACATGCTCATTACTCTACCTATGATGCTTTTCCCAATCTATCTCATCTATTTAACGCTCTCTCATTCTAAGACTTAAATAAAAATCCTCTCCTTAAGGAAGCTTTTCTGGACACCACAGTCTGACTTAGAAGCCCCTTCTCCTTGTTCCACGTGCCCTGTGCTAACCATTTTTGTATCTCCAATTACACACATCTCTGTAATCTCTGACTGTCATAGGTGCCCCTCATCACCACCACTGCACTTTGAGGGCAGGGGCTTTGTCTTATTCATGGTCTGCTGCAGTGCCTGCCTGGCTCGTTGGAAGAAGCTTAAAGGAATGTTTGTTGAATGAGTAAAGGCAAGCAAACCAATATGAAGGTAGGATCCCTGTCTGCTGACTCAGTGAAACATTCCTTCCTCTACACCATCTTTCCTGCTAACCTGACCCAAGTTTTCTAATCCTCTTTTCCAAGCTGCCTAGCAACTCACCCTTCATTCTTTCATTCATTCATTTAACAATGATTTCCTGCAGGTTTACCATGACAGACAAAACTCTGCAAGAAATAACCAAGTACAAGATGTGACCCCCTAACCTTAAGAAGTTCATGATCCAGGAAACAAAGTATAAACATGGCGGGGGGAGACAGGGGGGTGGTGATGCTGCAATATAGCATGGATTTGGCAGCAAAACAAGAAAAAAGGGTCCTTGAACAAAGAAGATATTACTAGTTTTGAATCTGATGCTGAGTACATAGTAGATCCAACAGGGAAGAGGCTGAAATGAGCAGTCCTGGATCCCTGTCTGCATTAAGTGGCTGAATTCTCCTTGAAATATGACTCTTTGGACAGCTGTACTTGAGCAGACATTCCTTTGAGCACTTATTCTAATATTTTTAAAAGACTCTATGGCACCAAAAGAGTAGTTTCTCCTTTAAAATGTCACCTTGTGTCTTGGGGAAAAGAAAAAATTTGTCATAGCTGTTTCACCAGTCAAAGTAAATACTGAAGAAATAGTTCTCTTGTATCCAGAGTTTCAGAGTAGAATTTCCGTGACCTGCCAGACTGGCTAAAGAGGCAGAGGCCCCTTCCAGGCTGAAGGTTATAGAGGACTTCTTCAATAGTCCTCTTGACTAGGTCTTCACAGTAGATGTGAGCATTGCTTGAGAGGTAAGATTATTTAGATGCAGGATTTTATCCCAAGCCAGGGATGGTACCAGACAACTTGCCAGTAGACCTCAGCAAGAGTCTCCATGGTTGTATTTTTTTTGTGTGTGTGTGGTTATATTTCTATAACAAACACCAAGCCTTCCAGGATAGTTCCTGTTATTTTAATCAAGAGAATGAAAACACATTTGCTCCACAGTGTGGCAAATAGATGTGGGTATTTAAGAGCCAGTTCTATGTATAGCATAGAACTGGTGTGTGTACTTGTTTGTATTGGAGGTGGTCTTGGCAGAAAAATTCTGGTTCTTGTTGCACACAGTGATTCTTTGCATAACTTTACTATCCTTTAAATTCCAGGGTGGGTGTGTGAGCATGTAGAAAAATAGCTGTGTAAATTAGCACGTCTCTGCAAACTTGGGCTAAACTGAAATTATGTTAGGAGGATGAAAAGTCATGTACTCCTCAGAAATTGTGAATGGTACTTGGGATATATTTGGAGGTCATTAGAATGTAGGGCATTCCCCCTACATCCCAACATCCCACCTACATTCTAATGACCCCCAAATGTACCCCAAGCCCTAAACTTTCACTTGAGTTGTTTTGTTTTTTGGTGGGTTTGTTTTTGTTTTTGTTTTTATGGTACGTGCCCCTAGCAGGAACCGAACCCGGGACTCTCTGGTCTGCAGGCCGATGCTCAACTGCTGAGTCAAACTGGCCAGGGCTTCACTTGAGTTTTTAATTTATATTCAACTCCCTGCTGAATATCCCCTTGGGATGACCCCTCAAACCCACATCTAGGAGAACTACATGCATGCACTACGCAGAATTTCTGAGGTTTTAGTTTCAATTAATGGCAACAATACCCACTTGTTCTTTATTACCAAGTGTTGAGTAGGTTGCTACCCAACATTTATTCCCAACCTCCTTCTCCCTTACAGAAATCTATTCTAGAAGTAAGAAGATGATTGCTTTTTCAGCTTCTCTTGCAGCTAGAGGCAGCCATCCCATGGAGTCCTGAGCTGACCACCGGCATTCTGCTGAAAGGCTGGTAGTTTTTGAAAGGCCTTTACATTAGTGACTAAAGGGAATCATTGCATTTCTCACCATTCTTGCTGCCTTAAATATGAATGTGATGCTTAAAGTTCAGATGGCCACCTTCTGACCAGGAGGTGACAACTGTGAGGACAAAAGCAATAAGACAGTAAGGAGATGAGTGGAGAGGAGTGTCTGAGCCAGTGAGTGACTGCCGACCTCCAGACTTCTTGTTATGTGAGAAAACCCTCTGTTGGCCTTAAGACACTGTTCCATGCAACAGTACTCGATCCTAACTGAAGCTTTGCTAAATCCTCTCTCTACGTGGATTTAAAACCTGACCATCACATGTTTCTAATACCCTTTGGTGATCTTCCTCGCCTTTAGGGTGAAATTCAAGCTGCCCAGCAGGACTATAAAGGCCTTTGTGGTTGGCCTCTGTCTGTCATCTCCTGCCCTTTCCTTCTCACACCTTTAGCAGTATGGAACTGTTTATGGGTCCCCATCCA